AAATTCCAAATTCCCCAAATTCCAAATTCCCCAAATTCCAAATTCCCCAAATTCCAAATTCCCCAAATTCCAAATTCCCCAAATTCCAAATTCCCCAAATTCCAAATTCCCCAAATTCCAAATTCCCCCAATTCCAAATTTCCCAAATTTAAAATTCCCCAAATTCCAAATTGCCCAAATTCCACATTCCCCAAATTCCACATTTCCCAAATTCCCAAATTCCCCAAATTCCAAATTCCCCAAATTCCAAATTCCCCAAATTCCAAATTCCCCAAATTCCAAATTCCCCAAATTCCAAATTCCCCAAATTCCAAATTCCCCAAATTCCAAATTCCCCAAATTCCAAATTCCCCAAATTCCAAATTCCCCAAATTCCAAATTCCCCAAATTCCAAATTCCCCAAATTCCAAATTCCCCAAATTCCAAATTCCCCAAATTCCAAATTCCCCAAATTCCAAATTCCCCAAATTCCAAATTCCCCAAATTCCAAATTCCCCAAATTCCAAATTCCCCAAATTCCAAATTCCCCAAATTCCAAATTCCCCAAATTCCAAATTCCCCAAATTCCAAATTCCCCAAATTCCAAATTCCCCAAATTCCAAATTCCCCAAATTCCAAATTCCCCAAATTCCAAATTCCCCAAATTCCAAATTCCCCAAATTCCAAATTCCCCAAATTCCAAATTCCCCAAATTCCAAATTCCCCAAATTCCAAATTCCCCAAATTCCAAATTCTCCAAATTGCAAATTCCTCGAATTTCTAATTTCCCAAATTCCTAATTTCCAAATTCATAAATTCAGTTCCTAAGCTCGAAAATCCCTAAATTCCTAAATTCTTGAAATCTTAAATTTCCATATATTTCCAAATTTCCACATTCTTAAGTCCTAATTTTCTAATTAAAAATTTCCAAACTTAAATAAAGTAAAAATTTTCACAGTTTCAAGTTCCCGATTTCGAGTCTTTATATCCCTCCAGATCTCTGTATCTCAATATCCTTACATATCTATAGAATATATTCGGATATCACGACATCCTTAGATATTCCTATAGTGCAATATCCTCAGATATTCCTATATCCCAATATCCTTAAATATTCCTATATTTCCAGATTTTCTAGGTTACTCGCGTACTAAGAAATAATCGAAACAGCTTGAATGGATTACGTTTTATCGACGCCCGTTCCATTCTGACAAATGGAATTCGAGCTACGACCAAGGTGAAAGTGAATCGAATCACGATCGATACCTTTTTTACCGATTCCAGTCGCGCGATGCACGGTGCATTTCTCACGGATGCAAAGTGTCTGTACCTTTTGACGATCGATGGAAGCGATAAGGTGCTGGAAAACAGGTTACATAGTTCGTGTGATGTAATATTCACGCAATTAACTGAAACCCGCTGCATAGAATATTACAAGCTGATGAAAGTTGTGGTTGTAATTAGCATGTTGATTAGCATTGAGGTGATCAATCAACGACACCGTCAATTTTATACAGTTGAATAACTATTAAAATGTTGGAGAAAATTTTAAGCAGCATTTTTATTATATTAATTACGTAAGAGAACGGCGATAAGCTTAGACTAAGATGATTTCGAATAGTTGTATATTATAATAGTTTGTGTTATAACGAACTGTACATTTTAGAGACCTGTGATCCGTTATGTTAAACATACATATAGAACATTAGGTGAGATGCATAAACTACAAAAAACAGTGAAACAATTGTGTTCTATTTAATTACATCTTTATTAACATATTGTACCATAAATATAGTATGCACAAAAATTGATAAAATTGTATAAAAATTGATTTTTATTGTTCTTGATAATTTATGTATGTGTGGTGTTATATGTGAAAGAACATTTCAAAGATGTCATGCTTGTACAATCTTTCTTAAATAAATTCACATAATAATTTTGATGTAGAAAAATAATAAATAGAAACTTTGTTCTATTAAAATGTTAACTTACATTTTTATTAATACATAATGCTGTATAATATTATATTTTTAATTTAAGATTCATACATGTATGCATCAGTCACATTACATAAAGTAACAAATTTAAAAATGAAACAATTTTATTCTAATATTAAAAAACAATAATAAATAAATTTTCATGTGTTAAAAAAATTGTTTCAAAAAAAAGGAAATGTGTATATAAATTATTTTCAATTTTCTTCATTTTTTTATTACCAATATCTTTTCTTTAAAAATTGAATAATGATGCAACGAAATGCAGTTCCTTTATGATCGATATTATCCAACAACTTTCTTCAGCGGATACAACAGGTAGCCACGGTAGTATTCTTCCAAAAAGGCTGGCGTCATAGCCTCACAGTTAATTACCCCAGCATCGTACGTTCACTTTCAATTAATTTCCCCTGCTGGTTACCACGAACGCCACAGGATTCGGTCACAGGAATAAATGATCGCGAGCCAAGTAAGTACGCTCGTATGCCCACGAAGAATTTGAGTTACGTCCACGGAGAAAGTGAGTCGCGATAATCGAGCCGATGCACGGAACGATTCTCACGGCAACGACGTGAATAAATCGTCGCGACGGTGCATGTTGCCGGTGCATACGATGCACGTGTGTACGTTTCGATGCAACCTAGACTTCCTTTCGATAAGGACGCATACGTAAACTTGAACATTCTGGTTACTTTAACTTTTTTCAATTTAGAAATTTTCGTGTGTTTTGAATTTTTTTATTTTTATACTTTCAGATTGTTCAATTTTCGAATTCTCGTCTTTCAAGTTTGTAAATCTTAATTTTTGTATTTTTTAATTTTTAAAGTTCCAAACTTTTAAATTTTCATGTTTCAAATTGACAAATCACCAAATTTTAGATTGACAAATTTTATAACTTTCATCTTTCAAGTTTGTAAATTTTAAAAATTTTTGTATTTTCAAATTTTCATATTGCAAAATTTTCATGTTTCAAATTGACAAATCGTCAAATTTCAAATTAACAAATTTTATAACTTTCATCTTTCAAGATTATAAATTTTTCTAATTTTTGTATTTTCGAACTTTCATATTGCGAAATTTTCAAGTTACAAGTTGACTCTTTTAATTATCAAATTTTCGAAGTATCAAACATTTGTACTTTTAAATTACCATATTTGCGCCTTTTCAGCTTCCAAATTTTCAAATTTTAGAATTTTCAAATTAAAACATTCGAACTTTCGAGCTATAAAAAAAATCTAAATTGTCATGTTTCAAGTTTTTAATCACCAGAGGTGACTCTTAACCCTTTGCACTCCTATGTCAAATGTGGTTCATTACACTTCTTTAGTATCTTATAAATAGATTGATTAAATATATGTATATATCATATATTAAATATGACGTATTTAATATAATATATTTAATATGAATTATATCATATATTTAATTTGTTTACTACTTATGATAAATGAACGATATATTTGTCATAAGAAAATCATATTCCAATACCTTTTATGATGAACCCTCCTTTATCTATTTTGTAAGTCAAGTTGGTAGATAAAAGAAATTAAGGAGTGCAAAGTGTTAAGTTAGAGCAAGGGGAGTTTCGTGTATATATAAGGCGTTCGTACTGTTGGTAGCACACGCAAAGAACGATAGAATGAGAGGACAGGAAGAGATCGCAAATTCGAGATGCCCCACTTTCTCGCGATGCAATTAACGTAACCCGCCAGGGCGATAACTGCATTATACGGGAGAGTGCAGCTACTATAGGGCTTCCCCTGTCTGGTTTCGCGATTGCATACACCGATAGGCTGACGTCTCACGGCCGATTCTCCCTAGCTTCGAATAGAGCAACCGTGCTCTCTATACCACGGAATCGTGCTGCTTCAAATAGATCGTTTGTAAGCTAGAAGGCATTGTTGCTTTCGGAGAATGCAAACGGAAATAGGTTTTCTTGAAAATCTGGGAGAAACTCTTTACCCTCGATTAGTCGATTTCCCCGGGTACAGTTATAACGTGGACTATGTATAGCGAAAATAGGACGTCTGCACTCTCTGACGAATTTGGTACACAAGTTTGCTACTTTGTAAATTGAATTCGTTTGAAAATTTAGTGATAACATGTGTAATACACGTATTTTATTCTTAATCTTGATATATGTAACATATGCATGTATCTTATTCTTAATCACAACATATGTAACATACACATGTATCTTATTCTTAATCACAACATATGTAACATACACATGTATCTTATTCTTAATCATAACACACATCTACGTTAATATGTGTATATCTACATATGTCTATAATATATATACATGTATTATCCCACCTACATACAGTATTACTGAATTCCCAAATCATAGTACACCGAACAAGCATCAAATATCAACGTACCAACATTCCCTAAAAACCGAGTCTTCCTATCTAACTAATCTTAATTAAAAAACAACGAAAAGAGAAGCAAAGTTATCTGTAGAGATTATAACGAAAACATGCAGCACTTTACTTATGGTTCACTCAGTATATAAACGCGAATCGTTTCGTATGATTCGACGAAACGAACCCTTGATGCAGTGGAACCGTTTAGATGCAGCTCGGCGTGGCTCTCTGGGTGGTTAATAGTCGGCGTTCCATGGCGTGCATGATTAGCGAGAAATTATATTTACGAGTGCACGTGGGCGGTGTAGAATAAAGTCGATCATTCGAACCAGGAAAGACTTCCGCGATGATCTTACCGCGGGGGTGTGACGACTCGTATCGATGATTTTCATTCTGTTTCTTGACAAGATGATCGCGTAGACACCCACTGGTAAACCGGAACGGGATAATAAATTATTACAGTGAATTACATTCGTATATCTATTCGTATTCTCTCAATTAGTGGAGGGTGCTTGATACTTTTCATATTGTGTTACGAGGTACTGATTGATAAGAATATAATATTATATTAGCTGATGAGTGCACTTTGTTAAATGTAATTACACTTGCATAGTTTTTTCTTGTTAAGATTAATGTTCTTCTCTTATTTTTGTTTCAGGTGAGTACCCAGGTTTCACGTTTACTAATTCAAGCCGTGTCATTTAATCGTAAGTACATAGATCAAAACACTTGTCAACGTATATCTAAAATTAACAATTTTAATTTATTATTGCAAATCAAGTCTATATAATTCTATTCAAAATTACTAGATATTTATAACATTTTTTACTATCATAAAAATTTATAATTTTTTCTTAATAAAATACTGATGTATCCACTTCAGATTTTTTTATTCCTTCCATCCGTGCTATGTATTAATTCCAATCGAAAAATTTCAAATAATTTCAGAATGTTAATTCTAAAAACACTCGTAGAAACCTTTGCAATCTATGAACAATTACATAAATATAAAATTTATTTCTAATAATTATACTTTATTAAATAATTTTTGCTATGTATGACTCGTTCATTTGTTACTATAAAAATTCTATCAAAAAAGTATGAACAATTATTTGTCCAATATATTAGTTTGTATATGCTACATGGTAGCATAAAATAACTACTTCAGAAACAATAGTATAAATAAATATAGATAAATAATAATAATTAGTAAGCACTTATCACCAAAATAATTACTTGGTAACCCAATCAGCATACCAAACCCAGAACACAGCAAATGAAACAAACCACGATAATAAGAATGACTTCCTCGTGATTATCAAATTATGAATAGACATCCGTTTCGTGTACGCGATAGATAACACGTTAGGAATCAATTCCTAATGAAAGCCGCAGAAACAACAAGGAATAAATACAGTGGTAGGCAAAAAGGTCCGACATAACCAAAGTAGTAGATAGAGAGCGAGAACCACGGCAAAAGATATGCTCGAACGGATGCGTGGATCATCCGAGGAGGAGACTTTCAGCGTGAACAAGCAACCAGAGGAGGAGGAGAAGAAACGGAGGAGATCCGACGTAAAGTCTCTCTTCTCTTCCGAGGGAAGAGGGCATCGCCCTGACCGTGACCTAGCCACCGCTCCTCGGGCAAACGCATACACGCATCATCCTACACACACGTGTAGAATAAGTACACTCGCGTGCAGCGTAGGATTCCTTAGAATAACAACACATGTGTACGCTTGGATGTTTTTAACCCTTCACTACCAAATTTTTGCTGACATTTTAAATTTATATGTTAAATACTATTGTGAGTTAACCCTTTAACTGCGGATGTGGTTTACAAACCACGTGCTAAAATTTTAACAAGAGATATGCAAGCTAATTTTTGTTAATATCAAAATTAGGTTTTCGAATGTTCAGATTTTGATTCGTTCTTTTAGGACTGGTTTTATGTTATGTCCACCTCCAATTTTTATAGATTTCTAAGTCCTCCAGTGTTCGTTTAATGAAATTGTCGTATTTCTAAGTGTTTAAGCTTTCGAATGTACGAATTTGTAAATTTGTAAGTGTCAGATTGCTCAGATTACTAATTTCTAATGCCACAAGTATTCCAGTGTTCAAATTACTAAACTAATAAGTTTCCAAATGTACAAAATCCTAAGTTAGTATTCAAATTTGTAGATTTACAAATTCCCAACTGTTCAAATTCCTTAATTGCAAAATTCCAAATTTCTGAAATTTCAAAATTTCGAAATCTCCAAGTTTCTAAGCCTCTATGTTATACTTGTTATGTACTATTATATGTTTTATATTAATACACATTTCTCACAAATATTTGTTGTATTTTTACTACTTATAATACATATACAAGGAATGACACACCATGTGCATCTTGTAAACAGTTTACCTTAATAAATGTTGGGCAAGTTAATACGGAACTCTAAAAATTGCGTTTAAATGCAACAAATATTAATTATCCTAATTTCCAAGATTTATACTTCGTGCTTGAATTAAAATATAGGATAAACATTTATTATCAATCTAATAATACAAGAATATCTATAAAAGTTACATTCAATTAATATTAAATATATATTTTATTAAATTATGAATCATATATTAGAATTGTTTTATAGTTAATTATGTACAGATATTTGCAGTGTTAGAAATTTAAGCGAAAAATGAGAGTTCGAGCGCGTCGAAATTGAAAGTAGTATATGATCGTGTATAGTCAGACGGCTGATCGACACACTATTGCTACGTTGTGTTTCAACGAAATTCTGTGGTCAATTGTACCTTAATAATGTCTTTTATTTTGTTTCAGTACATCTACCAGATATTTCACATTTTTTTTACATATTTTCATACATGAAACATTTGATATTAGCATAACCCTACCTTTTTTCGAAATATAAAATAGTACTTCATTTAAATTTATTCAAAAGTATTTATAACAATAATTTTCTTCATAACAGTAATTAATGTGATTCTTGACATATAGGAATAACATATGTTAATATCGACGATGATCTATTTGAAAATTGATACTTTACATAACACGAACTTCTGTTCGTGTAATATTGAAATTACAATTAAATTATTGTAATATTAAATTATAAAGTGTATATAAATTTTATACAAATTCCACGTATCACAAAATATAATATAATAATAATTGAAACGTTTACGAAATCAATATTGCATATTAATGAAAACTAAGCTGGAAGCAAAAATTGAACAAAATTTAATTTTCATCCCCATTGCAATCACCCAGTTATAATCGATATTACATTATTAACGAAATAGAGTGTACCTCCATTAATGAAACACAGAAAAATCGCACACGTACAGGAATTTAATCAGTGTAAATCTACTGGTCCAGTTGAATTGATGCGATACAATTCCCTGGGCTGGTAGAACTGGATTCGTAGCTCGCAATACGCCTAGCTTCGCGATCATTTCGCGAGAATATAAGTCCAGACGAATCGTTTCATTAATTTAGCGAACCATTAGTTTCTCTGCCGCTCGTGGAGGAAATTTTCTTCGCTCGAGCGTAGAAGACGCGAGCGTATTTCACGAAGCGAATGCGCGCATGTACAGCCAAGAGCAAATCTGGCTTCCATAGGAAAGTTTAATTATTTGGAAATTTGGGTAATTGGAAAGGGAAGCTTGGGAAATTGAAATGTTCGAGAGAGTAGAAGGGCTGCAACTTTAGGGGTTTAAGTGAGTGGAGAATTTCGATAATTTGGAGAGGAAATTGGGGAACTTGATAAGTGGATGGTTGTGACTTTGGAAATATGGTAAATTGGAAATTTTGTAATCTGAAAATTCGTTTGGTAATTTGGTAATTTGGAGATTTGGAAGTTTGGGAATTTGGGAATTTGGAGATTTGGAGATTTATAAATTCTAAGATTTGGAGATTTGGAAAATTTGGAATTTGGGAAATTTGGAATTTGGGAAATTTGGAATTTGGAAAATTTGGAATTTGGCAAAATTGGAATTTAGGAAATTTGGAATTTGGAAAACCTGAAATTTAGAAAATTTGGAACTTGGCAAAATTAGAATTTAGGAAATTTGGAATTTGGAAAATTTGGAATTTAGAAAATTTGGAATTTGGAAAATTTGGAATTTGGGAAATTTGGAATTTGGAAAATTTGGAATTTGGCAAAATTGGAATTTAGGAAATTTGGAATTTGGAAAACCTGAAATTTAGAAAATTTGGAACTTGGCAAAATTAGAATTTAGGAAATTTGGAATTTGGAAAATTTGGAATTTAGAAAATTTGGAATTTGGAAAATTTGGAATTTAGAAAATTTGGAATTTGGAAAATTTGGAATTTAGAAAATTTGGAATTTGGAAAATTTGGAATTTAGAAAATTTGGAATTTGGAAAATTTGGAATTTAGAAAATTTGGAATTTGGAAAATTTGGAATTTAGAAAATTTGGAATTTGGAAAATTTGGAATTTGGCAAAATTGGAATTTGGGAAATTTGGAATTTGAAATTTGAAGATTTGGAGATCTGAACATTTGGAGGTTTAGAAATTCGAAGATTTGAAGATTTGAAAATTTCAAAATTGCAAAATCCAAAATTTCAGAATTTCAAAATTAGAAACTTAAAATCTTAATAATTCCGACACTCACAAATTCAATAGTTTATAAATACAAGAATTTTGAAAGTGATCAAGTGTATACATATAAACATTGGTGTTATTCAAAGGCAGCTTGCGTTTCATCCGAGTGTACTCGCGCACAGCTCGCTGCAACGAGATGGTTACAAAGTCTAGCGTAAAATGCAAGCGATTTCGTGGCTTTTTCGCGATCGCGTGCGATGCTGTTAAGTCGTAGCGAAATAGCATTGCGATGCATAAAGAAAAGAAAATTGAAACATGTCGGACACGCATACAGTAATTTATGGCACGTATATCTTTTCATTAAGCCGGTATTCGGTGAACTTCAACTGCACAATGTTAAACTGATATACTGATAACTTTTATATAGTTTCTTTACAAGGTTTTGTGTCACTTTTTATAGCAACAATTTGTGAGATAATATTTATTAAATTTATTATGAGATATATTAATTTAGTTATTAGACTTCATTAATTTTGATATTAAACTTTATTAAGAATACCAATTTTGTTATTTGATTTTATCAAATAAGTATGAAGTTCCTTTCATGATATTAAAAATTAGAAAGAATTACAATTACATTTTGACAGTGTCAAAATTAGAAAAAATTCGAAACCTGATTAAATTTTGTTGATTTTAAATTTTCTGACAAATTTTTTCACTTATTAAGCGTAAACTAAGTGGATTTCAGAGTTTATTTATTTAAATTAAGAATTAATCATATGAAGTTTCTTTAACAATATAGAAAATTGGAAATTATTTCAATTTTAATGTTATTTCTTAAAAATTCATAATTCAAAATAAATATTTAGTAATTTGCATTTTGAAAGCAAGGTAATTTGCAATATAAAAATTCTTACATTTACAACATACAATTAAGCAAATTTGTAATATAAGGATTAATAAATACATGAGCAATACATGCAATATACCGAATGGTAAAATAATGAAATGTGAACAGTATAACTGTCTAAATATTTTTACATCATTCCTCAATTTCTCAAAAGAGATTAACATTCAACATGTAACTTTATGTATTTAATTCAGTATTAAACAGTCTATTACATTTTAAACTCAT